CCAATTAATTGATGATATTGGATTAAAAACTAAAGAGAAACTGTAATTGGTTTGGACCAAACAATACCATTCTTATTTTATTGGACCATACAATATCATTCTTATTTTTTTTGTGAAGTGTGAGAATCCAAAACAAACCCAGGCATCTGGGATGATCTGTACAGTTCTCCTCAGCAAGACTGATCTTTGATCTACTTTTTCTGGAGATCATGAAGATTTCTTATTCTGATGAGTAGTGGGATATTTTTTTTTTTTTAGATACAATGAATATGATTTATGTTTCTTTCCTGCACAGGTAAAATCCTTTAAATTCTCCCTCCAGAGATCAATCTGGTTATGGAAAAGAATACTGCCTGGTATGATAACGGCATGGGAGAGAAACTAAAACAGGTGGATGCCCCACAGCAGTGCTCACAGCAAAGCAACTAAGAATAGTAATAGTAGAGCAGCACATCTGCTGTTGACTTTGCTGTAACACCACCTTTCTAATGCTACCTTCAAATCTACACTTGTGCTTAGTAACCCTGTAACTTAGTTTGCATTCTTCTCCTCTCCTTTCCCCCACCCCTCCCTGGTTTTGCTTCATGAGGTAGGCTTCTTCCTGCAGTATAACTGTGGTATCAGCCTAAAGGGCTGAAACTGCAGTAGGCAGTATGCCTGTCTGACTGATCACCATAAAGCAGAGTGGCAGTGGGAGGCAAAGTCATCGGTACTGAATGTTCTAAGAAGGCCTTTTTTGTACCGAGATTAAGCTATCATGAAATATTTACGTTCACTTCTGCATGCACTTTATTGTCTGTTGGATGTGCTTAGAAAGTTTGCATAACCAATATAATACTGCCATCAGTGTTACAATGCAGGAGCTACTGCGTTTATGCCAACAGTTAATTTTTGTTCTGAAATGAAGTTTTTTTACACTTACGCCCTGTCATTATCTCTGTGTGCATTATTTCTCTACAACCATATCATATATATTTACATGTTCTGGGTGTACTTACTGCATGCAGTTCTGTGAGAATTTCATTTGATGCAACGTAATTGACTTTGAACCCCTCGGTACATAAAATAAAGTAGTAATAACGATGTTATGTGGGACTTTTCCAATTGATTCATCTTCTCACTGAAATGTAAAAGAAGTCCTCCACTACAAATTACTGTAAATGGAAGAAAATGTCCTAAAATACATACATACGAAGACTTTCCTCAAACCTTGTCCTTTCTCAAGCTGAGAGAACAACCTGCTTAATTTACCACTGACAACACAGGCCGCTGCAGAAAGTGCAGAATGGTTTTACAATAATTATTTTGTACTTTAACATGGATTATATGTAAGGGTCAAAGAAATTAACACTAGAATACCATTTAATCTAGGCCATTAATCATTGTTAACTCATCTAATTTTACAATTAAACTGAATATTCAATCTGTCAACCCTACAGAGTATCCAATCTTTTTGTTCAATCTTAGCATTTTTTTGTTTCTATTTAGAGAAAAGTTTATTATCAGGAAGCATGTCACTGAACTGTTAATGTAATCAATTCCTTTTTATTTTCAAACCATTCTCATGCTTTACTTCACAAAGTACAAAATTACATATGATTAGATAATTGTTATAGTTCGGCTAGACTATGCGATTCGCAGTGCTACCAGGAACGTGAAACAATGTTATTCTGAAAAACATTATCTTAGGGTCTAAAAACAAGCTAGAGACATGGCAAATAAAGAAGACTGAAGAATGATAAGGCACAAAGCCTTTATCTCTGTACTGCTGGTTCCATTTCGGCTGTTATTAATAGCAGCTGAATAATTATCACAGGAATACGCAGCGGCTGACTGCAAGTGAATGAATGTGCGGCCTTACAAAATTTCCAGCTACAGAAATTCCTGTGCTAAGGCTGCTACTGTACATGACACCAACTTGAATAACCAGAGCACAGAAGTATGGCGTAGCCAGGACCCTAGTATACCTTGCTATACCTAACAGGGTTCTCTTTCTGATCAGCAATGACACGAGACAGCCAGGTAATGTGAAGTCTGTTCACTGTCGCCTTCCAGAAGAGAAAGAAATTCACTCCCTTGAACTAAAATTTCATGAAATGTAAACTATCTGGAGAAAAGATTCCTTCTGAACTGGCAGCGCCACCCAGCATGCAGCCTGGCATAGCAGGCTGAGGCTAATGACACCACCGTTTGCAGAGGACTAGAATGACGAAGAAAAAATACAGATTTTCCACATTGATACGATGAGCACTATAATGAATATGCTGTCCACAAAACCAGCATACGACTTTTGCAATACTGGACAGCAACCAAAATTAATGAGCTGTACCACACATACTGAAATGCCTGTTAAAGTCTTGTAAGCAGGTAAGCGTAATTTCAAGATGTGTGTTACCACATTTTATTTTAAAGGACAGTTTCTGAACGTGGAAATGTACAACAGACTAGGGTACCTGACCTCACAGCAGAACAAGTCTCCCTAGTTTCTGAAAAGTAAAAGGACTATTTATAAACATTAATAAACATATAAACAAAAATTGAAATAAACTGTATGAAATTATAAGGAGTAAGTAAGAATTATTTCTACCTTGCCCCAGAAGGTTATAGAAGAATGCAAAGTATAAAATACTATATTTTTAAATAAGTAAGCTGTATAACTTGTACAGGCTGAGGTGTGTGTGGGAGGACGGGGGGGACGACACAATATGACAACTGCCAATAAATACAAATCTTTTCCATTGATACTTTTCACCAGGATCGCCGTACTACCTTTTGAGGGAAGTTCCCAGTCTTCATTCTACCACTTCTATAGTTTTGAGTGATACTAAGGCTGACAGATGCATATTTATTGTTGGCAAATCCAACAAACTTCAGCAAGACAACAAACTTCAACAAAAAGCTCACATGAATTCTGCACTTGGGTTAGGTTCAGCAATTATTAATAACCTATTATATTTAAGAAATGCTGTTTCTAGTTCAAGAAATGTTAAATACAGGAAAAGTTTCAGCATCTGCGACTGTCAGCTGGCTCACTACTGGAAATTACTATTCTGAAGAGTTCAGACATCATTAAAGATCAGAATAATACAACACAGTCATGTTCTTTTCCCTTTCTTTTTCTCCTATCCTCTATATTAAATCAGGAATCAGGGAAGGATATGACCTCACAGGCAACCTACTTTCCTCTTCTGCCAAAGCAGACTCATTCTCTACGATACATCCCATTTCTGAGAGCTTTTCAAAGACTGTCTTTAAAATATTCTGATGGTTTTTCCTTTGTTAATTTTGATATATTATTTCAGCATCTAACAGCTCCCTGTTAGTAAGGTTTTCCTGATAGTCAGCCTGAAGCTCTCTCTCATAATTCATTCCCTTAACTGTAAATTTCTTTATTCAGATTCAGTTCTATTTATGCCACACCAGACTGCACCGTTTTCTGTTATTATAATGTTATGTTTTGAGCTAAAGTCTAATTTTTTCTTTCAATTACTTCTCTTACTGAAAGGCAAAATCTTATCCTGAAGTGCATACCTACAGTACAAATTATTTTTGCCCCAAAATATCTGCTTGCAAATTTCTGAGATTTATCTTATTTTATTTTCTGTGTGCTTTCATAAGCCTTCATAAAAAAGAAACAGGGTCTTTTTGTTTTCCTTGATATTTATATTTCCTACTTATTCATTACTACCCCTGAAGTTTCTCAGGGAGGCTTGCTTTCTCTTCCAGACTAGTGAAGATATTAGGAAAATACAAAACTCTACACCATGCGAAAAATACTGTATTAGGACAATCTGTCCTCTTCATACTTTTAGTAACTTGAGTTTACCTGGCTTACTCTTCCTCTCTCTGTAACTCATGCCTATCAAAGTTATTTAAATAATTCTGGGACTGCTACTTAGTGTTAGTTCAACTCTTGTCTTGAAGATATACTATGGCACAGCATTTTTACATTTTACTATAACATCAAATTAGACTTTGATGTTAAGTATTGCAGTTGTGGCCTGACATTTACACAGTCACCTTTTCCCTCCCTCCCTACATTTTCTATTGAGTTGTTAAATGTAATTCACAATTACATTTGAAAATTCACACCTATAAATCAAACCTTTTTTTTTTTTTTAATTTAAGGCAAAGCCAACCTTAATTTAAATCATTGCAAAAAAATAGTTATTTTTCTGCCACTGAAACTGGGCATATGGTTTTCCAGCTCTTTGAGGAATGAATCAAATGTCTAGAATTCCAGACAATGAAGGCAAAATTCTTCCTCAAAACCACAGTCAATTCACAGTTACTCATGGTTCATCCAAGGTGAATGCTCTGCATTGGCAGCCGTAACTGTTTTGGATGCAATGCTGTGCAAACAGGTGGACAAAGCCACATCCGAAGTTAAACCTGGCCCAATGGGCCTCTCAAAACACAATACAGTCAATAGGCCTCACAATACACAACCAGCTGAACCGATGAACCACCTTAATGGAAAAAGGACTACCTGGGCTGTCTGTCCATACAGACACTTTGTTATCGCCATGCCTCAACTGCTAACATGCCTCCCCCCCCCCATTACCACTATCCAAAACCCCATTATTGCAACAGGGGAAGTTCACAGATATTGAACTGATGAAAAAATTAACTAAATAAACCATTCAATTGTAATTATTTTCCTCTTCTTTGTGTCCTATTATGCCATTTCTTCTTATAGGAAGACCACAGGTAGAATATGTACTTAATTCAGCTTAATTCAGTGCAGTACCCCATCACTGTACATCTGTGTCAAGTTCTCTAATACGCAGATGAATGGACTTATCTGCACTGGGAATGTCACTGTCACAAATACAACAGTGGGGTGTCATTTCCTGTAATCCTGCCAATTGAGTAAGTTCTAAGAGGTAAGAAGTAGTTCTTTTAAGCCTCATTCCTCTAATCCTAAATTTAAGGAAAAAAAGTTCTAATATAATTAAAGAAAAAATGGAAGGAATTAAATTAAATAATGATTTGCAAACTTACAGTCCATAAATCTGTGGAGCAATTTCCAGTCGGTTCAGATGCATGTACAGCTCAATATCATGTTTCTTCAGCAGATGATCCTGAATTTGGTTTACTTTCGCTACAATAGCAATAGATGGACCTAAGTCCTGAGGCCTTGCAAACGGCATAGGTGTAATCATCACATCTTTCTCCTGCAGACACAGAAAATGGGAAAAAAAAGAACATCCCATGAAACCTTATTGTCTAAAGGGATCACCTACAAGAGTTTTGTTGTAATCAATGGCTTCCAAATAAACATAAAAATATTAATAACTCATTTCTTTTCCAGCAAAAGAGGAATCTCAAGTATCCACTTCTGTGGAAGGTATTGTGGGATTCCCTTTCCCAGGAGTCCCAAGGTCCATCGTTCTGCATGTCAATTTTTACGTGCGTGCTTTACTTTTCATGCTCTGACAAAGTGTTGACAGCTTTATTTTAGCTTTAATAGCAGCAGACTGAGTCAGTCCAAAGCAAAGCAGATGAATGGTAACTTAGTAGAGAATATATGCCCTCAGAGAACAATAAATTGCATACCAAATAGGAAATAATTTATTTTATAACAATCCTTTCTAAACAGGCTTCCCTTGCTCAGAGAATCTGGTGGTTGTACCTCGAAATCTACGCAGCTTTGCTAAAGCATCAGAAAACTTTCAAAACAAAAAAGAAATAGAAAAGTGAGATGACTGTGATGGTTAGAAGGTGGTTGGACCTAAAGGTTGTGCAAACTATGTCATAATCTAGAACATGATATGTAGCAAGTGAACACAGTAAAAAAAACTACGGGAGTATTATCATCCTTGAACCTGACACCACTTTGAATTTGTTCTTCTTGCAAAAGAGTGAAATATTATTGAAAAAAAAATACAAAATGCTAGAAAGAAGTGCAGCAAGTAATGAACTGCACTTCATATGAAACATGTAAAAAGGAGGATGGGAAATAAAAAAGAGCAAATCAAACCTATCAAGAGAAAGACTGGGGAAAGGGAAACGGAGAATTAACCTGTCAGGAACAAAGTTAAAGTTATAAAAGAGGGAAAATTGGAACAGTAAGAGAAGATTTTGCAATGATTTGCAATCTGTCATCATAGCTCTCTGACCTGAAAGTTTCAGTTGAACAAATAGTTATTGTTTTCCTACCCTTTTGCTCAGTATATTGATAAAGAAGCATTATCAAGGTCAAAGGGTTAATTATTTCAGAAGATTTCATTACAGCTTGCACTGTTGAAAGACAAAGTCACTTGGTTCAATACAGTGAAAAGCACACTATTTTTATCATTCAATAACAAAGTAAGGTGTGGGTTTTGTTGTATAAACTACCCCTAAGGTTGTTTCCTATGGTTATAGTCCTTCAATCCCATTCTCTTCAGCATGTGAAGAGGAAGGAAAAGAAGTACCCATATGTCAGAATCATTTATAATATGGTTTGACATTCAAGTGGGCAGCAAACATATAATAATTTCTACCAAAAAAAGCCTGTATTTTATGCTGACCTTCTTTGCTTGAAGTATTTTTTAAGTATTCCCTTTCTGTACTGCAGACAAAATTGATGCTGAGCAGTGATTTCAGGGAAAGTGTCAGTATTTGAGGATCTGATTGATTATAAATTGTATCTTAAAATCTGCTTAACTGTTGCCTTCTATGGCAACTGAAGCAAAGGGACTGATGCATCAATTACAGTGTGGTGTTTTTGCCATGCTGTTGTGGTACCAAGACACATTAATTTAAGATGCCCCAGCAAATGGCTTGAGAAAAGCTCCCTCAGACTGTCAAATAAAGTTCACTGAAATGGCATCCTTTCATTCACAATCCTTTCTGGTCTACCAAACCAAAATTTAAAATAAAACATCTAGCATCTGAGGGGCTAACAAGAAATGTTGCTACTTACATAGATACTAAAGTTCTTCACAGTTGCAGGTACACTGAGAAAGGATATGTCTCCTGCCTTCTTTTTCAATTATTCTATTAACTTCTTCATTACCAAATCAAGCAGCCTTTTTTCTTTTTATCCTGATTTTTGTTTCTCCATTATATGGTTTTTTCCTATTGTTGTTTCAAACCCATTTCATTATTTTCTTGGTCACATGCCGAAGTGCAAAATACTGAAAAAGAGCATCCACTAATGTCCTTCTAATCTATGCAGAAAAAGACTATTGAAGCATGATATGTTAATATTGCCCTAACATTAAATGCCAGTTTATAGTAATTCTTTGCAAAAACGTATCATTTGATCTTTGAAACTAATCATAGAAGCCAGTAACTCTACATATTCAAAGACATTGCATGTTCCATCAGCTGGCACATATCTGGGGTGTGAATTTTATTCTGGTTTATCAAGTTGAGTTTAACTTCAGCTTGAGCACTGCACTCGCTCATAATTTTGATAATGTGAAAGATCTGTAATTCTAAGCTTTTCTCGATTATAGGCATAGATGATTATATAGAAATCTCAACATAAGAATCTGCTTCTTTGAACTTGTAATATGAGGGGACTAGGTAGTCACTCAGATTAGCCTTTATATCATTTGTTGTCTGTGGGTTTAAAACCATCTTTACAAAATTAGAAGACAGTGTCTTAAACTCTGGCTCAAGTGTCAAAAGATTCTGAGTATCAAAACTAATGCAAGCTTTCTCTTAAGGAGGAGGGCCAAAACTAGAGCTATTCATCACTTGCAGCATTTGTACACCTTGGCATAATGCAGCACTGACACACTGATTGACTGTCTGACTGACTGACTGTCAACATGGCTAAGTGCATCAAATAATATATGCTGGCTTGCCATTGTTAAAAGCATGAGGTAAGTAAATAGTATCCATCAAAACAGTTCATCAACACCTCAGAAATTAACCCCATTAACAGAAATCTTCAAAGCAACGCAGAATCTGTGGGGATAGCAGTTGCAATGAATAATCAGTCCCTGACTGTCCATGCCTCCTGATTTGGTGCACTCCACCAAGAAGCTCAATGGATGACTAAAGTGCATATGACTTGTCCGTTGTCTCCTCTAATGTAATTTGGTTGAGAAAAATGACAATACATTTAGTCAGTTGAAATTGCAAAAAAAAAAAAAAAAAAAAAAAGAATCACATCAGCTGGTGTGAAAGAAACAGCCCCAACAGAAAGATGCTCAAATAAACTAATACAACCAAGCTGCCAAAACGTTTAACTAGAAATAACTCACAGTGCCTGTGCCTAAAGCACAGAAACCAAGTGGACAAGATACTGTGCCCTTGCCCATACTCACTATATGTTAAGTTGCCACCCACATGAGGCAAAACACTTGTCTTCTTTTGGTGAGCTTCTAAGTCTCGGAAAAAATGTGAGTGCATGGCTTCAGTCATATACTGCTAACACGAGACACAAACGATCAATCCCAAAAAAGAGGGATGGCTCAGAGATGTGCTTCACTGTTTACAGGAGAGCATCAGATTCACCCCTAAGAACAGTTTAAACATGGGTATCAGTGAAGCGCAGCTGAAAAAATTAGGATTAGGAACGGAGTCACCAAATCCTGCCACAGAACATTACCTGCTGCAAGACGAACTGCAATGGCTGGCAGTCAATACCAATACAATTCATTTATTCATGCATTTAGAAAACAAATGCTAGAGCAGTAAAGAGAGGCTAGGACATCGTACAAGTATAAACCGTGGACAGATTTCACTCATTAACCACTAGGGAATGGAGTAGCTGGAGAAGCTCCTCTAACGGCAATTGGGAGTAATGGAGCCAACTGTTAGACGCTATAAAATGTAACATGTCTCTCGGAGCACATGCTTTCATTGCTTCCTTTGTGAGGGCTCAGACTTGATTATGTAGCTAACTCTCAAAGTCATGATTGTAAAAGGCATACGTACAAGAAAGGATTATTAAAGATTATACATGTTTGCAAAGAACAAGAACAAACAACTAGATATTAATCCATGCGCTTTGCATTGTTAATTTTTTATGCCACGAAAGGACTGGAAAGGGCAATGTAAACTTTCACCTTCTACCCAAGCACTGCAAATCTGTGAGCAGACCTAGTTATTTCCCAGCATAAAATTCAACAGCAGACTTTACCACCTCTGTCACAGAAATTGAAACAAATACATTTGAATACGCTGAATTCTGAAAAGCTACACTCAGAGAAACATGTCTCACAGCTTTCTTGCTGGAATAAAAGTGACTATGTAATAAGTTTATAAAATTTGTATCTCATACGCTTTATCCTTAGTTACTGAGAACTATGTAAAAACCCAAACCCAAATAGTAATTTATGACTGTAGAAAGCTTAGGCCAAGATGCCAATGCTCCATGTCCAATAAAATATATACACAGATACATTTAAATATTTAAAGAAAATAGAAGCTTTTATGTGAGTCTTGGGTGAGCATCTTTTTCTTCAACTGACTGGCAAAACCACCTCCCAAATTCATACTCCCTAATTACAGTTTGCAAATATAAGTTTTCGTGCACTAAATACAGCAGTGTCTGGATAGCTATGCAGGAGATCTGAGGGCACAGACGTTCCCTCTCTTAGGATACAGTGAGGTCAGGAAGACAAAAAGTAAGGAAATTGATTGATGAAGTCAGAGAAAGATGCACCTTGACCTTTGATGGACAGTCTATAATTAAAGGTTTGGTTTCACAGCAATTTATTTATACTGTAAGCAGCTGAAGCCTCAATACATTAAACACTGCCTATATGCATTCATTTAACATGACATTTGCACAGGTTTGGGGCACACAGATGTGCCTGTAACAGACATGCTTTCAAATGCTACACACGAACATCACTCATACCCAGGAAAACCTGTGTTTGCACATTTGGCTTTTGATTACCACGTGATCTCTCAACAGATAGGAACTTTCAACTGGAAGACTCCACAAGTGCTTCTGACCAAATTCTAAAGAATCTCTAAAGAATGTGAACTTGGTTGAGCCTGCTTTAACCAAGTTGTTTAAGAGATGTTTTATTACCTTCAAATTACTTCAATCGTACTAAAAGTCATATTTGCTTAAAAATACAATAAACACATTTTAGAGCAATATTTACCTTCTGACTGTCATGTTCAAAAGTTGAAAACCAATGTTCTGCAGTTTTCATAAGACGTGTGAACATTGCACTGAAGGGGAAAAAACCAGAAACTTGGTGTTAAATAATGTATTACAAATAAGAGCAAATTAAATGTAAAGGAAGTTGTTAAAACTTACTAGGCATCATGTTCCAGATATTCAGGATTCAAAAGAACTTTCATTTCCTCACTGAAAAAGGCAACAGTGAACAATCCAAATGTGAATGTTTATTTTTGGTCAGCGTTCTGCATGTACTATTATGTATTTATAAGCCAACTTTCATATAAAGTGCAAATGAGAAAACTAGCCTTTTTAATTAAAAAAGAGCAACTCCATTGAACAAATGAAGTCTTTCCTTTTTATAAAGATCAAAAACAAATTAGCTGCCTTGTCTGCACTACAATGAAGTAACCATCTAATTATTCCAAGTAACAAATTACTGAATGTCACAATGTATTATTTGAATATGCTTGATCTAGAATAATTGATTGCTGCACAATCTATCACTGTTTGTCCCAAACAAAAAAAATATGGTTACTGGTCAAATATGCAGTATCAAAACATTAATTTATTTTGTTTTAATAGCCTGTATTTTTATTGTACTTTAACAGCAATTAATCAGTGACAGCACCTCTTTTCCATCTACTTTGCTGCTTAGCTCTACTTTTTCAGTGGGGATGGAACAGAATGCTGTGCATAATACATGGTTATTTTAAGTTACTTAGCACTGAAGATCATTTCTAGGTAATTTCAGGATATCTAAGGACAGACATTGAATAAAAACACACACTTGTAAATAATCTCCATCCTTATGCTTAACTGCCTACGGACAATCACACTGAGAGGTGCTAACAGAGGTTACATTACACAGTATACATAATTAAATCAGCTTTTATTCACTGCTGGACTCCAAAATAGAGTGTAAAAGACAAATGAAAAGAACTTCTCTAAATATCACAAGCGATACAAGAAGGCAACTAGTGGTTTGTGGGTTTCTTTTTTAAAAAGCTTTACATATGGGGCAAGAAAAAAAAGCATCTGCATTTGGTTGACAATCATGTGTAATGTAGTGTTTTGTACATATGTGTGTGATTACATGCACACGCACAGTTTGAGTAAAATGGAGTATCAATAGCTAAACTTAATGTTACTACCGAGTCAAAGGATACTCAGATATTGCAGCTACAACATTGCAGGTGATGAACGAAATATTGATCACAACAATTTGTCTACATGGATTTTTTTTCTCTTTTACGACATGAGGAAAGAGAGTTGGTGACACGTCCGTTCTATGACTGTACTTCTCTAATCTGCCTCCTCTCTGCTATGACAAAACCAAAACTGTTTCTGGCAATAAGAACAAGGGGAAACATTACGTAGGTACGTAAGCTTTTTGATTAAGGTTTTCCTTAGGTTTCTTGTCTCCCCCTTTTTCTCCAGCTAAGATCTGTGAAGGGGCCAGTGTCTACACTTTTAATTTCCCTTTCAGAAGCTGTAGTAGGAAATATGAAGTAAGGACATTCCCATCAAAGCAGAAGGATGCAACAATTTCTGATATCAATTTATCGATTATAAACAAAGAATTAAGGAACACGTATTTATAAGTTCTAGTCCAGCCAACATTTTTTTTTTACAAAAGCAGATTTTTAATACTATACAAATAAAACAGAATGCTTGCCTTGGTTGTGCAGCTTCACTGGCATGTGAAAAAGCTTGGTGGTCACAATGAAGGATAAAGACAATGGGAGCTAAAAGTTCATGCATACCCTAAAAATAAAAGGAAGCAAAAGTACAGTAAGATTTTCCAGTCATATAATAGTTCCTAATGCAGAGCATCAGGCAGATAGCAGTATTAGGTGCAGACTAACTAAAAGCATAAGCATTACATTCTTAACAGAATGGTTTCATAATCAATGGCTTTTAACTTAAATTCTGATTAAATCCAAGGGTTTATTCTTCTATAATACACAGAAGGAATTTATTCTCCCTTTTTCGAACACAACAGACAACAAATTGGCAATGATAGGCAACCCTGCACCTGGCAGTTTACTCCAAGATCTATGTTCATAAATATGAATTTTATTTATGATAATTATAATCATGATCCACAGTACAAAGATCTGCTATAGGGATAAATTACAAAATTTAAAATTATTTTTTATTTGATAATCTTTCAACCCCATAGAGAAAAGCGTAACAGTAGCCTTCAGAGGAGGCAAGAGCAGCTATTTGGGAAATCAGAAGATCAAACTTCCGTTCCTACAAACTTGAGAAGTAAAATGATTTTTTTTTCTTTTTCTTCTTTTTTTTTGTTGCTGTTGTTATGTCAATATTATAAATAAACTCATTATAACACAGTGCATAGGAGACCTGATACTGTTCCATTACAGACTGTTACTTACATATGCCATCTATATTAAGACATAGAAAAAATATCGAAACATGCAGGAATCAGAACAGAAAAAATTGGTGAATAGTTGAGGACTTGGGCCAGCAGTAGAAGCATGGCTAGGTCACCCAGGTCAGCCAACAGTGCTTTTACCTGGAGCTCACCAGGAACAAAAAAGGAGTTGTGATTTGCCTTGATTCACCTGGGGCTTGTCAATTTGTAATCAGTAGCAGAAGCAACCGTTTCAGGAAACAAGCAATCCAGTTGGCAAGCAGCAATGCACTGGCAGGTAAAACTACAGCCTACAGAATGAAACCTCATCTTCAGAGGTGTTCAACCCCTTCCCTCATATTAGATCAGGGAAAAGGATTTAGGGTATCTTAACTGGGGAATTTGGTTATGTCAAGGGAGTTGGGCTCCCAGTGGTGGACTAGGACAGCCGGAAGTACACAAGCTACAGGTGGGGGTTAGCCATACCAAAGAAGTGAGGGGATCCCTTTGGTGATGGACGTGAGATGAGGGGTTGAGACCTGTTTGGCTGCCTCTGGACACGGGAGGAAACTCACGACTCCAGCCCAAAACCACCAACTACAGCCAAGGCCTGCTGCCAGGCACCCAGGCTACCCACGCTAGGTCTTGCTCTGGGCAGAGGAGGAGTGTGCTGCCAGGAGTGCTCCACTTCAAAGGTGCATCTCCTTCATCAAGGGGAGCCTCAGTCCCGACTCCAGGTGAGTATCCTGGGCGGACATGGGTGCCAGGAACACTATCCTGTCTATCCTGTTGGCAGAGAGAACACTGGGGCTGCCCATCAAGCTGAGTGGCATTTCAGGCTGCTGTCTGGAGTCAGACGACAGGTCCCCAGACAGGAGTCGTTCTACTTTTATGCTTGCAGTTCCAAGCACGGAAGCCTCTCCACTTCCCTTTCCAGCCCTTTCAGTGAAAGAGAGATGCGAGTAATGAAAGAGTTACACGCTTGTGCAGCAACCCTGCTGCTTTGCTGGTGTATCAGTTGATGTTCCATGTGACATCTGAGGAGTATTCAGTATCAGTGAGTTAGCTTATTAGCTTCATATATATCAAACAGATCCATTAACTACTGAAAACCTTTAACTTTTATTGGAATAACAGGTTTTCTTTAAGTAGTCCAAACTGAACAGAGAGAGAGATGTGGAAACCATCTCTAGATCATTATTTGAGTGTGCTTAGATGCATGTTAGTCAACCTTACCTGTTCATCAGAGGGAATACCTAGGAAAAGGAGGTTTGGAAATTTCTTTGAGTGGTATCAACTGAAATCTTAGGAAATGTAATTTTAATTTCTTCAGGACAGAGATGACTCTTATAGCCTTAAAGGTAGCAATAGCAGTCAGTTGACCGGGCAAAGCTAAAGACAGCAGAACTACGGAAGTTTGGACATTTTCTTTCTATTTCTGAACCTTTAGGGACTACTCTGAAAATTGAAGGCTAAATAGAAATTCAGTAAGGGAGAAACAAAAAAAAATATTAAACCCAATGTAGCCACTTGATTTCAGGAGTTGATGTAAAATTCCCAAACGCAACAATATGGGTTAGATTACAAATTGACAACTTCAGATTTCTGAAAGTCTATGGTCACACCAAGAAGAAAATTAATAGAAGAGACAGGGAGATAGGTTCATGATTAGGCAATAAATATAAGTGGCAAAAATACTTAAATAAACTGTAGATAACCTGGGCTGTACTTTCATACATACTCACAGAACTCGGTTAATTAACAGCTTCCCATCTAATCTTTTATTCGCCCTGATATACTAACATGAAATAAGAAAAATCGAAATGCCAAAAACTTGACTATCTAATAAAACTACCACCTAAGCTGTAAACATATAAGCTGGAGAAAAAGAAAGAGGACATAAAATAAGAATTAGTTATAAGAGATAAAAGCACGTCATACATTCTTCCAACATAATAATATATCAACTTTATATTAAAGTAGAATCATAATGTGGCTGCCCACATACAACAAAAACAAAACAAACAGATGATGAAATATCAGGATTTCAAAAAGATACCTCTGATCTTTCAGTTACAAGAGTACTTCAAATGTTTAGAGATTTTTTGCTTGGCAAGAAAAGCCACCAGTGTAATATGCATACACACATTTTTTCAATGCTGTAGTTTACTAAAACTCTTTAGTGTTAATAAATAAGTTGACAGAGCTCAGATAAATTTATGACACTTCCCAGCTACAACAAACTATTGGTTTTCATAATACAGAATATGGGTTAGAAAGAAACCCAGAAATATAGCATTTCTACAATCAAAAGTGAATCAATGCATTTCAAAATTATACTGACTTCTCTAAGGGCAATCAAATCATGAGTGAACAATAGTTAGGCTAGTGATTTAGCTTAATTGTCACTATTTCTTTTCAGTGTAACTAGGACCAGAATTTTGGCAGCAGTCTCAGAGAAGAATGCTGAGAGTAATTTTTACATATTCTTAAGTACAATATATTATTCTCTTTAGATTTTACATTTACAGCTGCTATTTAAAAATTCAATGATCCCAGTGAGAATTCTGTCTTTAAAATCTGTAATAGAGCTTCACAACATTCTACTCCATTTGACTAGGGACAGAAATATCTTTTTCCTCATCAAATAAGATGTTACTTCGCGCTGGTCAAAAAACCACAAACCCTACTACAAAGACAACTTTAATGCATATATGCATATTAAACAAACATTGATAGCTTCTTGTAAGACTATACGCTGATGCTATGTAATAGTTTCAATAAAATGTTGTAAACCGCATACACTTCATTTACATTGTTAAGTATGCAAATTGTCAAGGAACTATAACTTTGTCCAAATATTTTGAAAGAGAAATTTTGGGTCCTGTAGAGATCCTGACCAATGGAAGTATAAATTTTCATTTACTGGCCAAGCGCTGCAATTCTAACAGCAACTGTAGCTCTTGTATGTGGTCATACAAATGAGACAGAGGAATTCTCATAGAGAACAACAGGACCAGTCCTGTGATGGATACTAAATACGAAGACCAACTCCTTAATGTGGGCTTTGTATTCAGGTCACTGTGGAGAGAGCAGCTTGGAAGTGATCCGTTATTGATGAATTAATAGTAACCTTCATTATTTTCAAGAAAATATGCTAGGCTTTGATGTAGTGGAAAATATTATGAGAAGTGAGGCTTGAGGCCATGGTAAAAACAGAACCAGTAAAAATAGTAGGACATGAAGATTCACTGCAACACAGGTATTTGTTAAAAGAAGGAAAAAACCATATCCTGTTGCCACCACAAACGCTATTTCCTACACTCTACTAACTAATTTGGGGAAGGGTACTGATGGGCATTAAAGAAATGTTATCTAAAAAGAGAGGGACATGGTGTTAAAATAGCAGGATTGTTACCAATTAGTTAACAGGAGTGTTAAAACAAACAAACAAACAAACAAAACGAAACCCCCAAAAACCACAATCAAACAAAACCACTCTTTTAAAATGGGGTAAGAAAGAAGGAAAAGGTCCTAATAAAAGTGGCACATGTCCACAGCAAGAGAGGAAAACCACCATCATTTGTTGTTTTGTGGACTTGGCACAGCACCACGAGACCTGGCTGATATGCTGAACACACTTCAGAGAGATTAAATCAACTTTCAGGAACCAAATTTATTTCATTTTCTGCACTTCACCTCTCCCCTTAGTGCTGTGGCAACCCTTTCCTGGAATTACTGCACTACTGATGCACACCAGTTGAAGAGAGAGGTAAAGAAGTTTTCTTTGTTAACAGCCTGTAGGCTCGCAAAATTGAACCTGTTCTTTTATCTGCCTATGTTCATTTAGCCCACCAAGCAGTCTTTATTAAAGCTGAGGCATCAGGCAGTCAAAGTTCATTAATACCATTTATATAATCTCTGCAGTTTCAATTAACTCAGCAAGACATTCTACTACATGATAACAGTCTCATTAATTCAATAAAATCCCATAACTATTAACAATATGGTCTATGTTAAACGGGGTGTCACCTAGTAGAAAATAATAGCTTTAACAGCTTGTGATGAAACTCAGGGCTTTTTTTTTTTTAAATTTGATCTGGCTAAATATTCCACCCTTATGTAGAAAGGTATTATTTCTTGGTAAGGAATCAAGAGGATTTTAAATATGAGCAGAGGGTAATTAAGTCCTTTTAAGTCATATCAAAGAGTAAAATAATACTTCTTGTTCAATAAATGATAGACTAAATTGGCTGGAATGTGTTCTTCCATTTTCCCATCATAAGTAATCTGGACTATATTCACTAGAAACGGGAGGCTGAATACTGCGGAACTGTTTTCTCACAGATCTCATTTTTTCTTGTTATCCTGTAAAACTATTCCTTGCTCATGGTCTGTCAAACATGAGAAATAACCAGCTGATAGAGATTTCATGTGTTTGATAACTATATATTTCACTTTTGATATAACCTCTAAGACAGTTCTTCAGAAGTAACTGTTTCTTCAGCTCATCTGTGTTGTTTCTTTCATGCAATGCCACTAATTTCCTGGCTTGAGGACAGGGTGGTCACAGCCTGTGTCTGAAAGCATGGCGTCTTACAAAAATCTTCACATTTACTGAACCTCCGTATTTTTGTCATGAAAATTTTTCTGTCTACCTAAGGTTTGCTGCTCTACAGTTTATCCTTTGTCCTTGCACACAGAGTATGCCTCAGTTTGTTAGTCCCTACTCACCCTACGGTTAATAGCCTGAAGAAGCAAATAGAAATATATTTATGTCGATACTCTGCATATTGGTCTTGCTATATTAATTTAGTATCAAGCTTATACTCACTTCAAAATCTTCTGAAAAAATGTTAAATTCATTTAGCCTGCACCCCATGGGGATGCAGAGTTAGTGCAGCTTTAAGGCTTTCTTTACCATTTTATGAAAAATGGTTTGAGCAGGCTCTCCTTCAGGCAATACTGTAAAAGTGGTATTTGTAGGACCCTTATCCTTCAGTCGAGGCATTTGTCAGCTGCATTGTATTTGGATGCTACAGGTTAGATAAAGGATGTATTTGCTAACATACTGCATGGCTTTAGCCCTTTGAAGAAGAATTTAAAATATTCTGTAAGCTTAAAATAGAAAACTTTGCCTAAATGTCAGAAGTCATTTCTACTTTTTGGTTATTCAGTACCATTTTGAATTCTGCTGCATTCTTTCTTTATTTCTGCAGAGAAAACCTTTTTTATTTTCTTTTCTTTCTTAACACTCAAGAAGGTGTTGTTTATAAAGAAATTTGAAGATAGACAGCAACCTTAAAGAAAACAATTTGAGGGTCTGTGTTATGACGAAAAAGCATATGTTATTCAATGAACTTACTTTTCTTACTATCCAGCTGACAAGCAGCTCTCTGATTACTTTCGCATTATGACACAACTTCAGATACAGCAGAACTACATTATTGTCAAAATGTATAGAAAATGTTGAGTCAATGAATGCCACCTGTACAGAGTTTTCATTACCTGTTTATAAAGCAACTGCTCATTTTCTCTGGCGTAGCAGAACAGAACATCTGTAAGAATTTTCCTCACATTCTCTTGCTGGAAATACTGCATTTCAGGAAAGCTGAAAATTAAGAAACACAGCGAAAGTAAACAATACAGCACACAGAGTCTCAGTAGCTGTTCTTGTAGAAAATAGTTTTAGGCAAGACAGTTCCTCACCTACCTGTTTTTGCACCACTCTGTGAATTGTGGGTCCTGCTAGAGTAAGAATACCTTTAAGGACTTGTTACATTTGTTTTGCAACCAAAATTCTGAACCTTGTCCTTTATTATTCATTGGTCTGCTGCATAGATGTGATATCACCAGTTATATCTAAATAAGTAATCCCTTCTTATATTATGACAACCAGAGATTGGCAAGAACGAAATACAATGGCAGGTTGTTTTAATTGTCAGTTCTTATCCACTGAAAATGAATGACGGAGTATCTAATCAAAATAAGATGTACCATATGAGTATGTTCCTGCCTAAAGAATCAGGTTCTGTTCCTCCTCCATGTCATGAAAACAAGTGAAGTTGCAGCAGAACGGAAGGAGACAGAACGAGAGGCAATGGCTGAAGCAAAGACCTACCCCCTGCTTCCTGCACAAAGAGTCTTACAGCCAAGCCTAGCAGCCCAGAAGACCGTTCTGGTCCCAGGTTGCACAGCATCCCAATATTGTCTTTATTCCAAGACGGTGCTCTGCTGATTATCAGTCCTTCACCTATGTATATAAAACTTGCCAGGCACACAGAAAAAGAGCTGTGATGAAAAAACTGAGTTACAATGCTAAACTTGAGACCAGTTATATTAAGGATATTGTAAAGCCTCTCATAGAGAAACAATATAGGGAATTACAATAAATTACTTCAGATAAAACTATTAGAGTTAATAATTACTGTGGTCATCTCACAGAGGTAATGACAGGTAGGCAATATTAAGTAATTAAGGTTAGAAAGGTGCTTTGAAATCCTGGGATGAAGGACCTGAATCAGGAGCCATGGCACAGAAGACACCGTGGCTTAAACATGGCAATGTTGAAGTCCCGGGAAAGGCACTGGGATGAGGGGTGTAATATTTTCCTGGCACCTGGTGAGGGTAACGGTAGACCAACATTTGGAAACTTGTATGTACTTGTACTAATCATATTACTGTACAGGAAGGACACAGCTGAGACCAAAAGTGCATTACAGCAGATGGCAATCGACATAATTTAGGGGTTTGAAGAGATTATTTCTGAAGGACTGTTATTCAGGCCTGCCCTATGAAGTTTAGGAAGAGAAGACTAACAAAGAAAACTCAAAAACACACAGAGATATCTGTGAGGATCAAGTAATACCAGAGATTGTCACAGAAAGGAGAATAACAAACTCAGGAATAAGCTGGCTGAAATATTAATTATAGTAAATGTAAATACAAGAGATCATAAGGGAACGATCAGTTCAGGATGGATTTTTATGGAGAATGCCATTTTATGATTAAAGCACTGTTTTAGAAATACAGTATCCTCACATCAGACAAGGTAAGAATACTTTTCATGAACACTAAAATATTACGTTTAATTACGTTGCTGAGAAAGACTGCATAAGGACACGGGAATTTTGCTGGACTATTTTACCACAATTTCTACAGTTAAAGAACCGCACACTCAAGTCCCTGTTTTCTCAAAGCTAAGACCAGCGTGAGTTAGTTATCATTTTTTAAAACATTCCTTTAGCCCATTTAGGACCCCTACACCAGAAGCAGCCAGACTCTGACTCAGAAGAAACTTAGGCTGGCAACCAAATAAACGGATGCACAAATACTTTAAGAAACAAATCTGGTGGCAGACAGAAATGAGGCTCTTAACCACAGCCATGGGGTGACCATGTTTTTTTTCATGAACAGATTCCATCCCCTGCCATACCCCAATCCTGTTACTCAGCTGGAATGGGGAAAGCTACTAAACCAGAAAAAAATGGAAGATGTTCTTGCAACTGCAAACATTGGGTAAAGAACTGTAATAACTACCTGCCATTGCTCATTCTTTTCTTGAAAAGGAATATATTGGGGTATAAAGGTAGCTCTCCCTTCCAGCAGTGCCCGCTCTTATACAGAAATGAGATTTAGTCTCCTGTGTTTATACTGTGGCAGTTTTGGCTGGGATAGAGTTACTTTCTTCACAGTAGCTGGCATGGGGCTGTGTTTTGGATTTGTGCTGGAAACAGTGTTGGTAACACAGGGATGTTTCCGTTACAGCTGAGCAGGGCTTACACAGAGTCAAGGCCTTTTCTGCCTCTCACTCCACCCCTAAAGAAGTGGGCTGGGGGTGCACAAAAAGTTGTGAGGGAAGCTGACCCCAACTGATCAAAGGGATATCCCATACCATATAACATGCTCAGCATATAAAGCTGGGGGAAAAAGAAGGAAGAGGGGACATTTGGAGTGATGCATCTGTCCTACCGAGTAACCTGTTACGTGCGATGGAGCCCTGCTTTCCTGGAGATGGCTGAACAAACACCTACCTGCCAACGGGAAGTGGTGAATGAATTCTTTGTTTTGTTTTGCTTGTGTGCGCATCTTTTGCTTTACCCATTAAACTGTCTTTATCTCAACCCACAAGTTTTCTCAATTTTACTCTTCTAATTCTCTCTCCCATCCCATCAGGTGGGAGTGAGCGAGCAGCTGTGTGGTGCTTCGTTGCTGGCTGGGGTTAAACCATGACACATACTCAATGGATTGCTGTTTCTACCCATCTCTTCTATATGTTTAGGAAGGCGGTAGCTGTCTAATGGCTTCTCCACTACCTTTTTTATGGCTGGGTTTCTTGTTATTTGGGAGACGGAGAATTTGAAAAAGCAGCACTCATCACGACACATCCTCACACAGCTCCCATTGTCCTAAATTGGAATTGTTACTCCTGAAGCATAAACTAGGTGGACCAATATATAAACTCACTACCATATAAGGAAACAAATCCACTTGATTAGTCTACTGGGAATGCTTCCTAAGCATTTTTTTTTCATAAAATACTGGAGAGAGAAAGAGGGTAATCAGATCTAGCCATATACAATCCTAGATGTACAAGGTGATGCCAGCAAGTAGACTGGTATTTTGATTTGACTGGTAGGTAAATGCTCTTACATCTGCCAATCTGCTGATTTCCATTACTGCAGAATATTTTTAAAAAATTCTTCTTTATCACTTACCTTTTTAATTATCACAAAATAAATCAGCATTATTTTTCGGTACATCTTTTGAATGACAGCAATTAATTATTGCATTCTTCAGTCTGAGTTACTATGGTGCTAGTTCATACACACCTTCCTTTCTTAGTAGAATAATAGAATGCAGTATTATAGTCATAACTTGGGTGGTACTGCTATCTGCATCTAAAGTAAGGCTTTTACTTGCATTATAGTACACCTCCCTTACTCTCCTTCCCACTCTCAGTTTTAGAAGCTTCTCACTTAGAAAGAGATGTTATTTGGTTCCCTCTCAAAAGTACGTATTTCTAGGCAGCTGAAGGAAAATCCATTCTAAACATCTCAACTACAGTAAAATACGTCAGGTGATTAATTAGAAATGTTGACCATTAATGAGTTAGGATCCCTACTTCCCTTATAAATATTGGAACTTCTCAACAGACAAAAAACATTTGAACACACACATACGAACAAACTTTATCACAGTTCCCTTTAGGTACAGAATTCTGAAATTTAAAACCATTTAAACCAATATAAATTTAAAAACATATTTCTACCCACTTTTCCCATCTATTATTATGACACTTCAGCGAATTCTAATAAAAACATTATAGAGTAAATGTTTTATTGTTTGGATAGATGGGACTCTGGTTTGCTACCCTGTGTGCACTGAGCACCACTCTCTACAGCATTATTTACTTGATGCTGTTGGATGATCGAATACTAAACTGGATGACAAAGAACATAAGAATGTAACAATTTTTGTTCAGTAAGTAACACAAGTTGGAATGTAATGATTATGGTAACTGAATATAATAATTATTTTAACCTTTAATAAGAAGCATTGCAAGTTAACGTCAAATCTTTAAATTGTAACTCCAGGAATTTATTTAAAGAATGGAAATGAAAAGGACATTCCAAAGCCAAGGAACAGAGAAGTTGCTGTTTCTTACACTAACGATAGTTTACAAACAGATACATATGTACACATAACATGCACTCTGTGTTTCATGATCAGGGAAACAAGTGTATATATAAGTGTATGTACTTTATCAAACAAATTCATGTTACTTTGATACATGTTGCTCCTTCATTGTTTGACTTACTTTGATATTGACGAGACAGAAGTATGTTGCTATTGTTTTAAGTAGACATTATTTTGTATAAATACATAAGTGGAAATGTCTTTCGTCACTATTACTGATGTTAGTGAGTATTACTTACTCTGCCATTTCCCAGAGTGAGAGCCTGGACCTTGCACATTTGTGAGTATTTTTAAGTAACAGTTTTACATTCAACATAACCTCCATAAAACTTTTCATTCTTCAATTCTAGTTTAGATATGTATGTATTTTAATCTTAGAACATCCTGAACCGTTTCCTTTAACAAACAAAAAGTACCATCTGTGAGAATGCACATGAAAGCATACTCAGATTTTAATTATACATCTCATGGCAAAATGCATTCAAGAGTGGGTCTAGGGACGGACATATAAAATATTCCAAAACTAAAGAGCAATGATTTCTTCTGCTTGACTTTTTTTCTGCAAATGAAAATGGGTGAGCTTGGGATTTGTAAAATCTATGACGATCACCACTTTTTTCAAGTTATAAGGAAAAATATTTGCAATACAGTAAAATTTCACATGGCAGCAAACCAGTAATTGATTTTAATTAGATTTACACATCAGTCAGTGCTTCCACTCTGAAAAGAAATGTTCTCAGGAACTGAGTACTCTAGCTCAAACAAGTTCCTAAACAGGAATGACCTAAGGGCCACAAAGATGAAAACATAATCACAGTAATATTAGGACAAATTTTAAAAGGCATATGTGACACATAACAGTAGAAAAGCAATAAATAAAAATAGGAATGCTTAACTTCTGTAGATGAATGTCATTTCCCTTAATAATGGCAAGCTGCTTTTTTATTATTGATTGAATAAGTGTTAAGAATTAAAGAAAGTAATTTCTTTCATCTTTTATTATGACCATAATTTAGTTACAAGACCTTTCAGTTTCTCTTACCTTCTTTTTGCTTCATATGAAAAACTCTACTTTAAATTTCATAGAGTAATACATTTCCTAATATCTTAATTTAGAAGAGCTTTTCTTCAATGATACCCATAAATCTCCAGGGTTTAATGCTGAACTCAAGTTTCTTGTTTTTCACTCCAAGAAAGCTGTATTTTTATACATTTAATGTATGTTTCTACACATTCCTGTTCAACAAGCCTGACATTTACACTAACTGAAGTCAAGAAAACACAATACAATGTACACCACATAAAAATGCAGAATGTGAATTTATATATAGGAATTGCTTTAAATATCTACATACGTTCTTGTCACATCTTGTTCAATCATTGCTCGAAGCTCTTTATCCTGGAAAAATTTATTCCAAAGACTCTGAAATAAGGAAAAATAATGGTATGAAACAGAGACTTCTACTAATACTTAGGGCTTATATACTACACCAGCAAAGTACTGTACAAATATTAACTAATTAATCCTCAACATTCAAGGCAGATAAGGATATCAATATTTTATGTCTGAAAAAGAATGTTGGTGACCAGCCTAATGTATCTGAGAGAGTCAGTTTAGATCAGCTATGAAAACATCCAAGTTCCTCGATCCTTGTCCTAGGATCACTCTACTCACTCACTGGATGGCTGCAGGTCTGTGAGTTACTTATAAAGGGTCTATGAAAAATATTTAGGAAGGCAGAGTAAACTCAAACTTAGCAGAACCAGTAGCTCACGTGAAAAACATTCAGTAGTTCACTCATGGAAAAAGATCTCTATCACTATACCGTACTACATTTCTTTTATGAGTGTATGGATTCTAACTGGAAGCTGCTGTAATTTCCAAACATAGAAATTGTTTTGAAGTAAGCTAGTTTGCCTTAGTGGAGGCAAAAATCAAGTAAGGAATAAATGATGATCTAATACCTATTATGCAAATGACATAATTCTAATGGTACTTATACACAGTGCAGATCAAGACTGGCCATTCTAAAGAAGTTCTGATAGGGAAAACCAGGGTATTTAAAGCTCACTATCAACAGGAAAAAAAAAATAAATAAAAGCATTTGAGGCAGGTTTAGCTGCTTCTATACCTGTGCTTATTCCATTCTCTTTCTTTGGCTCCCATGCCTTTTTCACCAATATTTTGCAAAACCTAGCCTGAAAAGTCAGCAAATGATGTTTGTATGCTCCAGAAGAAGTATTGTAAAGCCTGTTCTTTATTGTAAAGGGAGGGTAGCTTGGCCATATTGATCAAAAGACAGAACAAAATCTATAGCAGTCTTTTCATGAAGGTCACTTTTCAGATAGCAGCACTACCAGTGAATGAAATAACGTACAAAGAGAGTGGCTGTAATAGTTTCAGAATGTCTTCCTCCTCTGTAAACAATTCATTGCCATGGTGGCTTATGCTCCACAGGAATAAAAGAGAACACAAATTAATCTTATCTAGCAGAAGGAAGGTAAAATAACAAAAAAGAGAAAATGTTAATTAGCTTCTCTATTTGTGTTTTAAGTGATGAAAAAACCCCAAACTTTAAAAGCATTTATATCCTTGACAATGTCTTACATAAAACTAGTATCTTTCTAACTCGCAGCTCTTTTCATGCAGCTAGGTCACATATTGCAATCTCCCTGCCCCTGCTCCCACCCCGGTCCATCAGAGCAAAGGACAAAGAAAACAAAATCTTCATTGTGGAAAGGAAGCAAAACCTGGGCCACTGAAAGGGTAAAACATAAAGTCACTGCAGAAGCTCAGAGCTTCATTCCTACACCTGGTTTGGCCCATGGCTTTGTTTTGTAGATAATCCCCTGCCACACACTCTGACACATTAACCTTTGTCTTCCATCTCCTAAAGATATCATAGGCAGAAAGGAGGTTGTGCCACTGTGTATAATCACAAACCACAGCAGAAACACCTCAAATATTTTACATTTGACACAACTTTCTGCCCAGCTAGAA